GAGGAGAATTGCCCAAATCGACACGGAGGGTGTCGACTCTTTTTGGACCAAATGAAAACTAAAGCGATGTTTGATGCACCATTTGTGAAGTGGGTTGGAGTGAAGCAAAAGAACATTGTTGGAATTAAAAAGCTACTCAGCACAGTATCACCGTTTGTTCTTATTATACTTTTGATAATGGATGTATTCATTTATACTCATGAATAGCGTCCCAACATCCGGGAAAAGTGCGAAAGTGTATCGATGCAACTCGTGTGGGTTCATCATGTTTGCGATACCCAAAAAGGGGAAAGAAAGGATGTTCTCTGGGAATGGAAAGCCGTACGACATTTTTGTTGTGGTGAACAATGCCGGGATTGATCTATTTTGACTTTATATATTTAAATTCCATTTAATTGAGCATATGAATTTGTAAGTGGTTGTTATGTGGGTTGGGGAATAATTATATTTCTTTATATAGTAAAAAAATATAGATCTATAAATTTTTGGAAATTGTTCAATAATTTTTTGGTTACAAAAAAATGAACTATAAACATTAATTATTAAATTTGAACATGTACATAATTATAATAAATCTTTATTAAATATTTTATGTAAAGCATTTGTGGTCTAAGGGCAGAATTCCACCCTTCCAAGGTGGAGATCCGGGTTCGAGTCCCGGCAAATGCATTTTTTTTGTTTTTATCATAATTATTATTTTTATAGTTTGTTTCAAATCAAATGATTTACAAATAAATTGTTTTTTCAAAAAAATTTAATTCTAAAAACGCCCCTCGGGGGGCTCGAACCCCCGACCTTACGGTTAAAAGCTGCACGCTCTACCGACTGAGCTAGGAAGGCACTTATTATTTAAATGCCACTCATCCACAACTTTTATGTAATGTATGATGTTGGTGTTATTATGTGTAATGTTTGAATTAACAATTTTTTGTTTTATATTATTGTGATTGTATTAATCGCTGTTACATTTGTTTCAATGTTTAATAATTATTAGATTCTATCTACATTTAAACAACAAATAATGGAATCTTAAATAATAAATAAGTCTCAATCACTATATGAGTGTACACAATGAGATTGTTGATCGATTACATTGTTCGTGGACTCGAAATTTAATTAATTAATGTGTTTGATAAATAAAATTTGGGTTTGGATTAGTTGTTCTTTCTATTTTTGAAGTTTCAAAATAATTAATCAAAAAACTAGAAACTGATAGTTTTTATTTATTTATTGTTATTCACATAAGTAAAAGGTATAATTAAAGGTACTATATTTTTATAACATAAAAATAAAATAATTATACTATATTATATAGTATGATAAACTATCTTTTTTATTTATTCGAAAACTGTGTCTTTGATAAGAATTATTTTATTTAAATTTTCTTTCAAAAAACGTATTTTTCCATTTCCAAACAATCGAAATGGATTGGAACTTGTAACTTGAAAAATATGAAATATTTTTTTCGTCGGGAGCAAAACAATATACAAAAGATATTAGAACCCCCCGTTGTAGAGATAAATAAACTGCGCCAGACAGTGTTTCAGTATGGGATTCCAAGTGACGGTGAAAACGAGTTCCGGTCGACTGTATGGAAATTACTTCTCAACTTTTACCCATCGAAGAAACAGAGCTGGGACGAGAATGAAAGTTCGTTACATAAAGATTACTTGTCGTTTCTTAACAACTTCTTTCCTTCGGCGAATGTTGAAATCACTGAAGACACTGGAGA